TTTTCTTCTAAATATTCTAGTTTTACATTTCACTTTAAATCTATGATCCAGGGCGCCTGGGTGGCTCAGTCAGTTAAGCGACTGCCTTCAGCTCAAATCATGATCCTGGAGTCCCGGGATTGAGTCCCGCATTGGGCTCCCCGCTCAGTGGGGAGTCTGCTTCTCCCTCTGACCCTCCTCCCTCTCGTGCTCTCTGTCTCTCATTCTCTCTCGCAAATAAATGAATAAAATCTTTAAAGATTGATTGATTGATTGATTGATTTGACAGAGAGAGACACAGCGAGAGAGGGAACACAAGCAGGGGGAGTGGGAGAGAGAGAAGCAGGCTTCCCGCCGAGCAGGGAGCCCGATGCGGGGCTCGATCCCAGGGCCCTGGGATCATGACCTGAGCCGAAGGCAGATGCTCAACGACTGAGCCACCCAGGCGCCCCATTGAATAAAATCTTTAAAAAAAAAAATCTATGATCCATTTGAGTCAATTTTTTTTATTCTTATGTTAATCCCCATATATTAATCATTAGTTCTAGATGAAGTGTTCCATGATTCATTGTTTGTGCATAACACCCAGTGCTCCATGCAGAATGTGCCCTCCTCAATACCCACCACCAGGCTAACCCATCCTCCCACCCCCCTCCCCTCTAGAACCCTCAGTTTGTTTTTCAGAGTCCATCGTCTCTCATGGTTCGTCCACCCCTCCGATTTCCCCCGCTTCATTCTTCCCCTCCCGCTACCTTCTTCTTCTTTTTTTTTTTCTTAACATATATTGCATTATTTGTTTCAGAGGTACAGATCTGAGATTCAACAGTCTTGCACAATTCACAGCGCTTACCAGAGCACATACCCTCCCCAGTGTCTATCACCCAGTCACCCCATCCCTCCCACCACACCCCCCACTCCAACAACACTCAGTTTGTTTCCTGCGATTAAGAATTCCTCATATCAGTGAGATCATATGATACATGTCTTTCTCTGTTTGACTTATTTCACTCAACAGAATACCCTCCAGTTCCATCCACGTCGTTGCAAATGGCAAGATCTCATTCCTTTTGATGGCTGCATAATATTCCATTGTATATATATACCACATCTTCTTTATCCATTCATCTGTCGATGGACATCTTGGCATTTTGAGTCAATTTTTATAAAAGGGGTTAAGTCAAGCTTTTTGGGTTTTTGTCCATGGACGTCTAGTTACTCCAACATCATTTGTTTGAAAAGACTCTCCTTTCGTCCATCGAATTGCTTTTTAATCTTTGTCAGAGACCAGTTGGTTGGTCTTGTGTAGGCTATCACTTTGTTCTCTATTCTGGGATCTATGTGTTTGTCCCTCAGCTGGTACTGCAGTCCTGATTACCATAGCCATATACGGAAACCAGAATATCAAGTAGAGTGAGTCTTCCTACTTTTTTTTTTTTTTCAAAATTCTTTGAGATATCCTAGTTCCTGTTTTTTTCGTTATGTGAATTTTAGAATAAGCTTTTCTATGTTTACCAAAATCCTTGGTAGAATTTTGATAGGAATTGCATTAGATCTATCCATCTATACATACAGATCAATTTGGAGAGAACCAGTATCTTTGTTATGTTGAGTCTTCCAATCCATAAATACAGTATGTCCCTTCTTTTTTTTTTTTACATTTTTTTATTTCTTTCAACAGCATTTTGTAGTTTTCTTTATATATGCCCTTACATATTTTGTTGGATTTACACCTAAGTGTAAGTGAAGGAGATGTTCTGTTCGCTTCCCCATCCTGGGCCCTGCTTGCCCTTTCTCCTTGCATTCTCCTTCCTACAGCTTTGTGTAGTTTAGAAGAAAGAAGATCCCCAGTTTGGGATGTTTGGGCTCTGCTAGGGTCCTAAGGCTTTAGTCTGAAGCTTAGGAACTCAGTTTCTACGTAAGTTAAGATCTCTGCCTTGAGAAGTGAGAAAATACTCATGGGATGGATAGCTTCCAAACTTCACTCATATATTCACTCTTTTAGTCAGACACATTTGTGGCCAGTGCTGTAGCTACGTGGCACTTCACACGTTGACATGTTCACCATACCAGCTGCATAGCTTCAGCCGGACAGCCTTCGTGATCTGGTGGGTAGGGAGCAGCCGTGGGGTCAGTGAGCAAGGACTCCTGATGTTTTCCATCATATGCAGCCTCTTTTCCTTTACGTTGGTGTCACCTCACCACTTCAATGTCTTCCATTGCTTTGTATATGTTCAGTGATTTCCTTTCAATGTGGTTACTTTTTGTTGTCCCCAAGCAAGCCCCAAGCAAACTGTAATCTTCTTCAGCACAAATCAGGATCTGTTCTTGTAACTTCTCACCACTCCTGCCTTCTGAGTCCCCATATCTTGCCTTTCCTTTTGTAATTTTGGAGGTTTTTTCCTTTCTTTTTTTTTTTCTTTTTTCATTTGTTTATTTTTTTTTTTTTCCCTTTCCTGCTGTGGTGAGATGTTGTTTATTTAGTCTCATTGATCCTCCATCTCTGCACATCAAGGTCTCTAACACAACATTGAGGAGGAAAACGATGGTAGTCTTAAATTGCTCTCATGTTTCCATCTCTGAGAAACTTAAAGTCATTATATTAAGAAAGGCCTTCGGGCACCTGGGTGGCTCAGTTGATTAAGTGACCAACTCTTGATTTTGCTCAGGTCATGATCTCAGGGGCTTCAGATCGAGCCCCGGGTTGGGCTCCGCACTGAACATGGAGCCTGCTTAAGATTCTCTCTCTCCCTCTCCCTCTGCCCTGCTTGTGCTCTCTCTCTCTCAAAAAAAAAAAAGTCCTTGTAACATCTGTAAAGTACTAACTCTTGGAATATGTCCCACTGACCTCAGGCTCTTTCCTTCCCTTGGTGTGTATCCAATTGCTGCAGCTTTAGGAACTTTAGGAGCTAGAAGTTCAGGAGCTCCGCAAGTCCTAAGGTGCTAGACAATTCAGGTAGAGTGACAGCTTTCAGCATTCTTGGGAGAAGGCCCAGAACTTCTAAGTTTTCAACCAGGACCCAAAGGAGTTGCGACTGGCATATTCCCAGGGGGCAAAAAAAAAAAGAGGACAATCTTCTTATTTTGGTGAAACCTTGAAATGATGGCTGGTAGTTACCCAGGTAGTTACCAGGCCAAGCCTACTTGTCTCAATTCCACTCCGTGATGCTGGCTGTGGCATCAGGATAGGTGACATAACCCTGAGGCTAGACAAGTGAAGATGTGGTGCTATCTCTCAGATACCTCTTTCCTGACTGGATCCTGATGGATACAATAGCCATTTATAACTATTGTAATTTGAGGATGAACCACACAAGGTTGCAAAAAACATGAGATCTTGCAGAAAGTCTTAAATCTCTAGACTCAGAGAAGGAAACAAGATTTTTTTTAAAAAATGCTGGATAAACAAATTGTGGCATATTCATTCAATATGTACTGAATGACACAGTAGCCTATGTAGCAAAGAAAAGGAATGAACTATGCCTGCACCCAACCAGAGAGATGCATTTCTGTGACATAATGTTGAGCAAAAGAACTCAGATGAAAAGAATACATACTGTATGAGTCTGTTTCTATGATAGCCAAGAACAAACAAAACTATATCTGGTGATACAAGTCAAAATAATGGTTATCTTCTGAAGGGGGCTTAGTACCTGGGTGAAGGCACAAGGGAGGCTTCTGGGCTGCTTGAAATTTCTACATCTTAATTTGGATGGTGGTTACATGGGTATATACTAATGTAAGAGTCAGCCAAACTGTGCACTTAAGATTTGTGCATTCTAGGGGTGCCTGGGTGGCTCAGATGGCTGGGCGTCTGCCTTCGGCTTGGGTCATGATCTCCAGGTCCCGGGATCTAGCCCCACGTCAGGCTCCTGGCTTGGCAAGGAGTCTGTTTCTCCCTCTCCCTCTGCCTGCCTCTCCCCCTGCTTGTGCTCTCTCTCTCTCAAATGAATAAATAAATCTTTTTTCAAAAAAAAAAAGATTCTGCCTTCAGCTCAGGACATGATCCCAGTGTCCTGGGCTCGTGCCTGTGTTGGGAATCCCTGCTCAGCAGGAGGCCTGCTTTTCCCTCTCCTCTCCACTCATGCTCTCTCTCATTATCTCTGTCTCTCTCTCCCAAATAAATAAATAAAATCTTAAAAAAAAAAAGATTTGTGCATTCTATGTTATGTGCATGTGTATGTTATATCTCAGTAAAACAATAATATAAAATTCTCAGTACAGACTAGATATTAAGAGTATTTATAGAATAAACAGATGTGTGACTTGAGCTTCCTAACTTGGTTTCATTTATTTCATCAATAATAGCTAGAAGTTTAGAAACTTCTTGATGTTAAATTGTGTACCCAAGTGACATACAAAGTTTTAAAATACATCTTCTCAGAGTAATGTGGTTTAACTCTACCACAAACAAAATACTGTGGGTCTTGGCAGTTTGTCAAGAAATATTGTCAGAGGGATGCCTGGGTGGCTCAGTCGGTTAAGCATCTGCCTTCAGCTCAGGTCATGATCCCAGGGGCCTGGATTAAGTCCCGCATCAGGCTCCCTGCTCAGTGGGGAGTCTGCTTCTCCCTCTGCTGCTCCCCCTGCTTGTACTCTCTGTCTCTCTCTCTCTCTCTCTGACAAATAAATAAATAAATAAAATAATTTTAAAAAGAAATATTGTCAGAAATATTTCATATTGTCAGAAACATTTCATATTTCTGAAACACTCAACCCATGTAGACATTGGTATATACAGGTAAAGATTGATTGATTTTAAGATTTTATTTATTTGAGAGAGAGAGCATGTGTGCACTTGAGCAGGGGAAGGGGCAGAGGGAAAGAATCTTTAAGCAGAATCTTCAGTGAGCATGGAGCCCAAAACAGACACAGGGCTCAATCCCATGACCCATGATATCAAGACCTGAGTTGAAATCAAGAATCAGATGCTCAATTGAATGAGTCACCCCTGTGACCCAGTAAACATTTATTTTAATCAGATTAGTATTTATCATCCCTTTTAAGTACCCAACTGGACTTACCCTGTGGAGGATACACAGGAGACAGGCACCATCTCTGAAGGAGATTACAGTCTCTCTGTGCCTGCTTTTTGTGGAGACGAGAACACAGATTCAGACTCTGCATCTCCTACTAAGACCGGACTCATGTCAGTCTGGAAAGTGGGACAGATAAAATCTGTGTCACCCATCAATATCTCTTGTGAAAACTTATTTCATTACTACAGGTTGACAAATGCCTTTAGTGCATCAGTGCATTGCTCATCCAAAAGAATGGGTCTGTCCGTACAGGTCAATTTCATGTTTATCACAACATCCTAATACTAATAAGGTTCACAGCTATTGAGCATCTTTGACATGCTTATCCTATAATAGCTTCATATGTGTAAACATTTAAATTTCATAACCCTGAGTTATTATGCTTTAACTCGCTCTAGGTTCACAGGTATTCAGTGTCAGGGCTGGAATTTGAACACAGCCTGATTCCAGAGTGGACTCTCTTAATCATTACCATATATAATTTTTTAAATTGAAATATAATTGACATATAACACTGTGTAAGTTTAAGGTGTACAATCTGTTGACTTGATACACTTATATATTGCAATATGATTACCACTATAGAGTTAGCTAACACCTCTACATGTTACATAATTATCATTTCTTTTTTGTGGTGGGAACAATTAAGATCTAGTCTCTTACATTACCATATATTCTTTTTTTTTCCCAAAGATTTTATTTATTTATTTGAGACAGAGAGAATGAAAGAGAGAGAGCACATGAGAGGGGGGAGGGTCAGAGGCAGAAGCAGGCTCCCTGCCGAGCAGGGAGCCCGATGCGGGACTCAATCCGGGGACTCCAGGATCATGACCTGAGCCGAAGGCAGTCGCTTAACCAACTGAGCCACCCAGGCGCCCTACATTACCATATATTCTTAATCATTCAAGGCAAGAAATGATGGGAAGCTGTACATCTGGAAGCAGATGATTTGAGCTATTTTGATAGAGTAGTGCATTATATCACAGCAGATTGGGATGACATTTCAGGATCATGCAGAGGGCTTGAGCTACAGTTCCCTTTCCCAACTATATTACATTCCTGCTGTTTGCTGGCTTTCTTCTTCACTTATTCGGGTAACAAATAATGAGTGCCTGCCTCCTATGTACAAGGTTTCTCTATTTTGTGTAGGAAACGAGAAAATAAATAAGACACAGCCTCTTCCGTATTTCTGGCATATATTGCCCTCAGTTTCTTCCTCCTGTTCATAATTTCATTCTGCATATCTTTTTTTTTTTTTAGGCTTTATTTATTTATTTGCCAGAGAGAGAGAGCTCAAGCAGGGGGAGCGGCAGGCAGAGGGAGAAGCAAGCTTCCCGCTGAGCAGGGAGCCCGACGCGGGACTTGATTCCAGGACCCTAGGACCATGACCCGTGCCAAAGGCAGATGCTTAACCAACTGAGCCACCCAGGCGTCCCATTCTGTATATATTTGCATCAGTTCAAACTGTTGCTTACTGATGGGAGGTGACCTCAAAGTGACTTTAAAAGTCCTGACTCTTTGCCTTTTGGCATCAGTTAACAATGGCCACAGCATCTGGATCCTACTTCTCAGTAAAATGCATTTTTTGAAAGCTCAATGCAAGGTTTGTTTTTGTTTTTAATTTGGGAGTGTTTCAAGTCTAACTTAGTTCCATCATTTACTCCCTGACAGCTTGATAACCAGGGAGCAATAACTCCCTTATCTGTGGGCTGTTTAATGACGATATAGTACTGCCCTGGGAGCAATAGACTAAGGCCCTTTCCAGATGCCATATTTTCAGACTTTCAGCTGGAAAAAACTTCACGATGTGAAATTTATTCTGATTACTTTAAGTCAGGATTTTGTCTTATTTAGAAACAAAAAAAATTGACCTCTGGCTTGCTGCCTCCTGTATTTCTGGCTGTGGGCCATATGATCATCTAATTTGAATTTTTCAGGCAGAGGTTAGAAACAGGCAAATGTGGCCTCAACAGCAGGTAAGTGTGTCAAGACTGTGACAGAAATTGTGAAGACTGCTATAGAAATTGCTTTTTTAAAAAAGTCACCTCCTGTTCTACAAAGTATCGCTGTCTGTTCCTTTCTCTGCTGTCCACCAGGTTTTCTTTGGGAGCTTAGGTCCAAGAGACACCAATCAAAGATATTCAGTTTCCTCAGTTTTTGTTGCCTACAGGTAATTATGCTAAAAGTCTGTAGTAGTAGATCTTATTATGCTTGAGTACATTATGCATTCTAGAGCAGAAGGTTTTTGCTGGAAAGCTTCACTGTCAGATATGATTTGCATTTTTTACTACTTTTCTTTGCTCCTTGAGGACAAGCATGTTAAGGATTCCTTTGTGCATAAACAGAATAGCAAAACACAAAACAGTCTATCTGTGGGCTTGAGTCTGTGTTCTTAACAAGACTGGCATTGCTTTAAAAGAGGGCATGCCTTTGCTGCAGGGCCTATATAGTTTGTTTGGAATGGTGAGGGTGTGGGAGCAGGGCAGAAACAAGTGCAACTCCATCTGTAATTAAAAACAAAATGCCAAGTCGTCAAATGAAAGCAAATCAAATAGCAAGTATTGGAAATTAAAGTTATTTAGTCCTAATATTTTTTAAAAATGTTTTATATTGGTCTTTTTGAGACCTTTGCCCTGCTAGTGTTGAGGAATGTGCTTAGTGGGCCTACTGAATAATCCTGTCCTGTGGGTAATTGCATTTAAGTCACCTCCAGCTTCGGAATTCAGGGGTTCAAGACAGAGAGACGGACCCCTGATACCAAAGGCTGGGTGTTGTTTGCCCTTCTCGGTCCACGAGGAGGCTGGCACCGAGCCTGGTACACTCCTGCGGGCATGGCCTTGGCCAGTGGGTCGGTTTGATGTACGCGGCTCTTAAATGCCCCTTCCTGGCTGCTTTCGAAGGCTGCGGCCGGGTCGCGGGACGCAACATGAGGCTTGGACGCTTGGGGAGAAGGGCCGTGGGCAGCTGGGTGTCGGGTGCTAAGGCGGGCGAGGGCTGGGCGGCAGTGCCGGCACCCCAGCAGGGCCCCGGCGCCGACAATGCTGCCCGCCCGGGCCCGCACGAAATCTCCCGGCGCGCTCCGCATTCGTTCGCAGAGGCCGGGCGGCCCGGCGTGCACTGCGCCGGCCGACCGTGTGCTGGCGGCTGAGCGGACGGAACACAGCGCTCGGACGTGAGCCGGGCCGGCCGGCGCCTCCGTATCCGCTCCGCGTCTCCCCTTTTATTCCAACTGCCTGGGATTCGGCTCCACGAATGGAAATCAGCCCTCTAAATTCAACCCCGTAGAGTCAGCGCCAGCCAATAAAGTGCGCGGGCTCAGGCCACGTGAGAGTAGCGGGGCGGTGCTCTGGCGGCCCCGGGATCTCTATGGTTTTCGCGGCTCGCTAGAGGGCGTGTGGTCCACTGGAGGACTCCCTACATTCTTCCTCCATTACCTCACTGCCTCCGGTGGCTGCTGGGATACTGGAGGACTCGGGTCCCGGCTCGACTCAGTCCTCCAGCTGCCCGGGGAATACCTCTAGCAGTTCTTCCCTGCCGCCACCGCCGCCCCGTCGCTTCCTCCTCCGCCCGCCCGCCGGCCTCCTTCGCCCCGCCCCGTCCGCGCCGCACGTCCGGCCCGCTCGCGGGCCCGCTTCTCTCGGGAGCCCCCACCCAGGCGCATGGCTCCATGAAGCAGGAGGAGAAGGCAGAGCGCGAGAGGTCCCGTCCACCCCAGCTGCGTCTGGGCCAGGAGAAAAGGTGGGAAACTCGGGCTGCGCCGCGCCCTCCTCCTCCTCCTTCCCCGCCGGGCCCGGCCTCCCTCGGGCGGTGTCGGGCCTCCTCACCCCAGGGCGAGCGGAGGGGCCCGGGACGGGGTCTCTGGGGTCAGCAGCGAGGGTCCCGGGGCAGCGTGGGGGAGGGGCTGCCGGGTGGCGGGGGAAGAAGGAGGGCGGGGCCTGCGGGCCGCGTGTCCCCACGGAGGGCAGGGGGGTCGGGAGGCATTGCTGGGGAGGGGTAGGCGGACGCCCCTGCCCTGGGCCGCGAGGTGAGGTGAGGCAAGGCCAGGCGAGGCTCCAGCTCCTTTCTGCACGCCCTCCAGGAAACGGTCTCGGGTCTATGTAAAGTTTGGTGGTCTCCGGCGCCGCCTGGTGGCCCCCACCCACTGTCCCGCCGCCCCCTCCCCCGCCCGGCGTCTGGATTCCACCCCCGCGGCTCGGCCCTCGCTGCCCTACCCGTCGCTCTGGCGTCTCCCCAACTCCCCCCCCCACCCGGGTCCCGTACTCTCCTTCCCTACCCCTTTTTTTTCTTACCTTTCACCTTTCTCTCTGCCTACTTTGCCCCCTCTTGCTCCGGCCTCTTCTTCCCCACTCTGTCTCGTCCTTTTCTTGCCTAACTCTTTTCACGCGCACGCTTTTTCTCTTCTTCCTCTTCTCTTTTTTTCCCAGCCCCACCCTCACTCTCTGCTTCCTTATCCACCCATAGCCCCATTTCCATTACTTCTCCACCTTAAACTCTTTGGGTTTTATGCCTTTCTCTCCCTCCCAGCCTGTGGGTTTTGCCCTTCATTCCTTGCCCTCCTCCCTTCCCTGTCCTGATCTGAACTCCTCACTTTGCCACACTCCCTTACCCTTATCCCTCTGGGCCTATCCTCTTTCACTGTCCTCTCCTTGGATAGTGTGGGTGGGGCTTGGAGTCTCCTGTTTACATCTTTGGGAATAGCTTAATACTCTACTACTGGAGGGGGGGGAGTTGTTGAAGAGATTATGAAGAGATCTATGCAAAATTAATAGTAAGGATGGATGACTCTTACCAACAATTATCATCTCTACCTGGGGTGACAAGATGGCCTGTCCTCAGGACCCTGGCATGCTGTCCAGTAATTCTTCAGCACCATCTTTGCAGAGGATTTGGGAATATGCTTGTATTCTGAAACCAGTGGAGAGCCTTGAAATGGTATATCTTGGCCTGAGAGCAAGTTTTGATCTAAATTAGTGGTGGAGGAAGTTTTAATGTGTGTCTCATGTTCAGGTTCAATAAAACCTTTGATCCTCAGTGTCCTCCCTTCTTGGTGATGACGCCAAGGATGAGGTGATTCAGTGCATGGGACTGCCATTGCTACCTTATATTTAGATTTTGAAATGTTTTGTAGTAGGGAGAGCCTGCTTCTAGCTGTTGTTTTCTTTCTTTCTTTCTTTCTTTCTTTCTTTCTTTCTTTCTTTCTTTCTTTTCTAGAAATTGCTTGATGTTGTGATTTTTCAGAAACCGTATCTCACCTCTGGACTGCCTTGATTTTGTTCATTCACTGCACTTGCATTTCTGTCTTAGGTACAGGAAGAAGGAATGGAATCAGAAGGAAGAAAGTTCATTTCAGAGACAAAATAACTCTCCTCCTCTGTTATAGCTGTTCCCCTGGCAATACAAACTATCTGCTTTCAGTGAGTATTACCTTGGACATATTTAGAATGTTTAGGATTTGTTGCTGTTACTGGTTTTAGCCCTGTGCTAGGACATTAGGGTGTAGGTTTACTTTTTCACTTGTATTTTTCTGCTTCCTTGAGAAGGTCCTAATGTTCTAATGTTGATGAAGTTCCTTCTACTTGCTCTCTTAAAGTGATTTAAATACGTAAAGACAAGTTTATTTTCCATAATCCCATTAGATAGTAGTGTAGTATTACACTTATCCTTTATGTTTTTAGTACATAAGGTCTGGCTCCCACCCCTTCCCAAATTACTCATTTTTAAGACAACCAAAGATCAAACTCTAAGGTTAATGCAGTTCCTGATCAAGGTCAGTTATTGGGTCTCTTCCATGTGGTTATAATCTTCAGAGATTTTTGGAACATTTCGCCCTAAATCTGCTATAGTGATACTGTTTTCTGGAAAAATTTTTATTACAGCTGCATCCCCTTGAGCTTATTGTGGTATGCTAACACTTGTAAGATAGTGTTTTTCACAGTGCTTCACATCTTATTGGAGCCTCACAATCCCTCTGTGAAGGAGAACAGGGGACAGATATTTTCGTTTTACAAATGAAAGAACCAAGGCCAAGAAATATCTGGCACTTTGCCATAGATCACATAGTAAAGGGAGGGGACTCTAAAAACAAAACTTTTGATTTCTGTGTTTTTCTTTAAGCTAAGTTGAAAGAATATATAGTTCTGTGCATTTTTGTAAATCTGTAAATTTTAAAAGCAGTTATATAGGTAGATCTGTATTTTGCGGGGATCACTTCTCAGCCTAAGATCAAGTGTATTTTGCAGGGAAATTTTTCAAAGTGTGTGTTTGGATATGTGTATGTTTGTAATGTTGAGGTTTCAAAAATATAAAAGTGATTATTTGAAATGATTACCAGTATGTTTGTGGGTTTTTCATCTGACTATTTCTTGGAATAGTTACATAAGTAGGCCAGAATTATAGTTCAGGTGCCATTTCCTTACTCATGCAACATAATTATTAAATTGAATTTCAGTTCAATTCTCTATCACGAAGGAAACAACAACCCATTCCCTTCTGTATAAAGCTTGATTTGAACAGACATTTGGACACTACGTAATAACAAAAAAGAGCAGAGACTCCTTTTTTCTTTGCCTCTTTCCTACCTCCCAGATCTATTTGTTAGAAGGTCATGCTCCCCAATAAGTTGTTTTGAGGCTTATCTTCAAAAGGTGAATCTAGATTTTGTTTTTTCATCTCCAGGCTTTTCTAGCTATTTTAATCTGGTTATTGTTTGAAATCTAACTACTTTGACACAGAGGTTCCATTAGTATATATCAAGATTTCTACAATAATAACATACTTAGTTTCATCTCATTTTAGTGTATGTAAGCTTAAGAGAGGACTCCGGTAGAATAGAAGTGTGGACAACTCAGACAGCCCAGTATTCATTCTTTATATTTTCTGGCATCTCACAGTGGATGATTTATTAGAAGCCATTGCCCTGCAAAGAGGAAAAGCATCAAGGTCATTAGAGTAATAATTTCACTTTAATAATATGATCTTTTAGACTACAAGGTAGTTCTTAATAGAATTTTATTATGAGGGCATTTATTTTTCTAGAAATTGTAAGAATTTTAAGCTATGTTATTTTTATAATGTACCCTTCCATAGTGGTAGTATTAATAATAGCAGACACTTTAATAAATAATAGTTATGTGCCAAAGAAATGCTAGATGCTTTTCATGTCTTACTCGTTGAATGGTCACAAATAATCCCCTGTGGTATAGGGAGCCTAAGTCCATAGAGATGTGACAACCTGCCTGAGTTTGCGTAGCCAGTACATGACAAGTCAGAGTTAGAATTTGAGCCTAGACTATAATCCCAGAGCCTAGGCTCTGTCCTCTGATGATGGGAGCTGCTCTGTGAAGATGTCAGTGAACTTGAGGAGTGTGAAAGGGACCCTCAGCAAGGGAGGAAGGCCATCCTGCCCAGCCAGCCAGATCCATCAGGGTGTGTTCATATCTTCCCCTCAATACTGGTCTCTACACCTTCTTTATAAACATCAGCAGTTTATGAGATATCATTTGTATTAACTCCTGAAATAATAAATTCCCAGGCAAATAATATTCCAGTGGGTAGCTTTTAAAGCACGCCGTCATTTAAAAAAAATTTCTCAAGTACAGTTTAGAAGCTGGGTATGGCCTGTCAAAGGAAAGCCTTGAGCCAGTCTAAAGTTAAATACTACCCAGGGCTAAGTCCAGGACTGACCAGTGACTGGTGTGTTTTAGCAAAGAAAGCAGCTATAAGCATAAATCAAACCAAGAAGTTAAGGGATATTTGATCTAATTTTTAGAATGAATTGGCCACATTGGCTATCCATTTAGCCATGAATTAAACCATTCCTTGGTTTGGGCTGAATAGAGTTGACATTGTCGATAAGAACACATACTTGTAATTCAGTTGCCTTCAACTTCTAACACACTGCACAGTCGGCACCTCACAGTAGAACCAAAGATCTAAAGATTAGTTTGTGCCACAAGCATTCTTTTTAAAAAAGACAAACTTCAGTGAAATTACTAGGAGATTTTGGGTGCCTGGGTGGCTCAGTTGGTTAATCAACTGCCTTCGGCTCAGGTCATGATCCTGGAGTCCCAGGATCGAGTCCCGCATCTGGCTCCCTGTTCGGCAGGGAGTCTGCTTCTCCCTCTGACCCTCCCCCCACTCATGTGCTCTCTCTCTCTCATTCTCTCTCTCTCTCTCTCTCAAATAAATAAATAAAATCTTAAAAAAAAAAAAAAAAGAAATTACTAGGAGATCTGTAAATAAGATTGTTGGCATGTATGCTATATGCAGGGCACTGTGTTAGATGTTGTGAAAAGAAACACAATGCCACCCAGCCTCTGCGAGTAAAGGTAGTGAGTTCAGTGCTGTCTGGAGTTGAGGTGGCATGGTAAGCCACCCAGCCCAGAGCAACAGAGCGCTGCTCAGCTTCCCCACAGAGGGAGGTAGAGTTACCATCTTTTGTTGTGGACCCTAATGAAGGTCAAGACACCTTGACTGTTGCATGTCAGGTAAAGGGTGTGGTGCCTTTTTCAACAATAAACATGCTTCACTATACTTGACATGTTAGGTTAGGAGGTCCTGAAGGAAGAGGTAAAAACTGTGATTCCTGTTACTTCTCCAGCTTTTGTGGAAATAAAGGTATTGTCTCCCTCTGGTGGAAATCCAGTTTTAACTTGTTCATTCTCATTGATTGGTCTAAAGTGGATAGGCGGTAGGAAAATGAGATCAGTGCTGCTGGCTTTTAAAGTGGCCCTCAGAGGCGCCTGGGTGGCTCAGGGGGTTAAGTGTCTGACTCTTGATTTAGGTTCAAGTCATGATCTCGGGGTCCTGGGATGGAGCCCCACGTCAGGCTCCGTGCTGAGCATGGAGTCTGCTTGTCCCTCTCCCCTGCTCCTCCCCCTGCATGTATGCACGCGTGCGCTCTCTCAAATAAATAAAATCTTAAAAAAAAAAAAAAATGGCCCTGGGGCACCTGGGTGGCTCAGTCGTCAAGCGTCTGCCTTCGGCTTAGGTCATGATCCCAGGGTCCTGGGATCCAGCCCCTCATTGGGCTCCTTGCTCTGCGGGAAGCCTGCTTCTCCCTCTCCCACTCCCCCTGCTTGTGTTCCCTCTCTTGCGCTGTGTCTCTCTCTGTCAAATAAATAAAATCTTAAAAAAAAAAAAGTGGCCCTTGGGGCACCTGGGTGGCTCAGTTGGTTAAGCACCTGCCTTGGGCTCGGGTCATGATCCTGGGGTCCTGGGATTGAGCCCTGCATTGGGCTCCTTGCTCAGCAGGGAGCCTGCTTCTCCCTCTCCCTCTGCCTGCCACTCCCCCTGCTTGTGCGCTCGCTCTCTGTCTGTGTCAAATAAATAAAATCTTTAAAAAAAAAAAATGGTCCTTGAGTTTAGCTTTGAAAGAGTAAACCAGCTGAAGACTTGGAAGGGTCTCACTGATATATGTATTTATAAAA